GCGTTGTGCCTGTAGTGATGCTGCGGCTCAAAGGACTGTTCATTGCTGTGTTTGAAGATTCAGATTTGGCTCTGCTGCTTTCAGCAGGCACCAGAGAGTCTTTACCTGTTAGTTTTGTGCATCTTCTCTTAATTGAGATTTCTTTTAACTGCTTCAGTTTTGCCAGTGAGTCCTTTTCATTCCACAGAGCCGGAGCAATTATTTCTCGTACCCTTGTGTTTGATTCAGAGTGCTTCTAGGTTATTATCTATGGACATCTTTCCTGAAATGGTGGGATAGACCATTGTATCTTACCCGCAATCATAATTAATCCCAGAAAAATGGCATTGAATTGTTCAACAGTAAAGTGCATCATTACTCTCCTCCATCCCCCAGGTCTCAGAGAAGAGAAAGGACAAAGTAGTGCAAGCAGCATATGTTAAAATACTCCAGATTCTGATGTTCAGCCTCTGGACCAGAGGGCTCCCATGTGTGCTTGTTCTCACAAAGCAAGTAGCTTTTACAGGAGGCTTTATCAAATCTGGTTTTGCACAAAATTAGGGTGTGGATGAGAGCCTGGGAGTGGCTGTGGAGAAACACCTCTTCTGGCCTTAGCCCATCCTCTGGTGTTAAGCAGATTTTACTTCTAGTTCTGTATGAGTGAGAAACAATTAAGATTGTGTTTTACTTAGATACGCGAAGCTCTTTGAGCAGTCATGTTAAAGCACTTCCCGGTGTGTATCGGCAGAATAAGAGGCAACAAGTGAAGGAAAAGTTGTCCCCATTTTATACATTTAGACCTGAGGCAGGAAAAAAAGCAAATGGACTTATCCCAAAAGTCATGCAAGAAATCCTATATCTCAGGGTGTCAAGCAGAGAGACGGAGCATAGTCTTTCAGGATTAAGGTTATCAAGAAGTTTAGTATTTGTGAATGTTACATAAACTGTTTTGAAAGCTGCCTGGGGAGTCTCTTAACAGTGACTGCACCTTATCCACTAGTGGCTGGAGAGATGTCCCGGGGGCTGCAGGTACCATCAGAGGGGGTTTGGTGCAGCACTCTCAGGTGAAAGTCTCCTGACGAGTCTCATGTTCCCTAGGTAAGTAACACTAGATGCAAAGCAAGACATACATCTCCTTGAAGAAGTTTTGGTTTTGAAAGACGAGCTGCTTGGCTGCTCATCAGCAGATGTTTGGTGGCTCTGCAGGCAGAGCACATCGTTTCAGGAAAGGATGATGCCGTTCTTCTTCAGAGCAGACAGGAGCTGAATTCTGGGAGAATGCTTCTAGAAATGGACTTAATGTTTGAGAAGTCCAGGACTAGCAGATGAGCTGAAGGCATGGTGAGCAGCAGTGAAGTGGTTTGGTGTCAGTGTTTAGGTGGTTGCTGTCGCATGTCCAAGCGCCTCGCTTCTGTAAGACAAATGGGATGCGTTCATGCCTCTGGGTGTCTGCCTAGTGTGGGCTCTGACTTGGAAAGACCAGACTGCTTCAATTTGTGTTCTGAAGAGTCCCGAGGTGAGAAATTTTTCAAAAAGTTTTCTGTGTTGGAAAACGGGTAGGAAATCAATAGGAAGGATAATTAGTTTAACTTGGAGATATTTTCTGTGCTCTTGAACGAAAATGCGTGTTACCATGGAAGATATGAGATGCTGGACCTTATGACTCTGCAGTAGTGTTTGGAGACAGCGGTGCAGGCGCTTGAGATGGCTGTTTATACTGAAGAGAAGCCCTTACACAGGGTATTGTTCAATGTCAGATAAGAAATATCCTAGCAAATGTTTTTCACAGTTAGTACATATCTATTTATAGACACCAACATCAGAGGCCAGCAAGCAATAAAATGAATTGCACAATATTTTATTACCTTCCTTGAAAATTTGAAGAACACCTGAATTATCTGATGTGGTGAAATAAAACACCATCGTTCAACCTCTGACCATCTTACAAGTGGACAAACATTTTGATGCTGAGAAATGCCTGGATCAGACAGTAGTTTGGTATTTTCCAGCTCATTTATTCGAACTTTGCGGTGGCTAGGATTCCTATGGTCTTTTCTTTTCCAACACACTATTTCATTAAAGGGCGATAACACTGCCGTGAGCAAAAGAAAATAATTCTTAAGTCTGAATATGAAGAATTAATGCAGTATCCTCACTCAGAGCTCTGCAGTTTTCAGTGATAAAATGGGAGCTGGTTCTGGCTCCCATTTTAACTTTCACAGCGCAAGGAGCCTTCTGGTCTGGTGGAGGATCAGGGTGAGGGATTTCTTCCTTTGATAGCTAATACACAGGAAGACATCCTAGCCTCAGTACTAACTGAATAATAGCTTGAAAGCAGGATGACACAGTCTAACTGATCGATTTGTCATTGGCTGACCTGAGAGGGAAGATGAAAAAGATTCAAAAGCAGATAAATAATTGACATTACTAGCCTTGAGTCCTTTCAGCTCACAACCTTTTCTCCTTGATATTAAAGACAGCTGACTTGCTTTTGGCAGCTTGTTTCTTTGGTCCAGGCTTCCCTGCAAGGTGAATGTTTGATTGCGGGAGGAAATCGAGATCAGATGTGAGTGGTGATAGGTGTTTACATGTGCTGTGAGTAGATGGATTTGTGAGTGTGTGCAGTCTCCCTTTCCAATGAGGGTCTGCATGGCCCACAAGAGCAGAGCATTTTCTATATGTTGAAGTATATAATACAAAATGTCAGCCACTCGGTGCACTGGGAAGCAGTGTTCTTTGCATATCCCACTACTTTTTCATCTTCCTTGTAGTGTGGCATTTGGTTAATGAATGTGCCAAAGTGAGAAAACCCAAAGGAAACCCCTGGCTGTTTTCCCAGGAACTTTATTAATTTTGCAGCTCTCAGTTTTGAGGAATAGGTAAGGTCCCTACCCCCACTCCAGAGAGGCCCTTAAGTGTTTTTTAAACTGTTATTCCTAAAGTAGGTTAAACTGTAGGTGTCTGAACCCTTACAATACCCTCCCAAGGCAAGGCATTTGCAGAGTGTGGAGAGAGTCTGCTTTCTTTTAATGCCCCAGCATGATGTATAAATGAGAAGCCTCCAATGTGAGACCACCAAACCAACCATGGTCAAAAAAATGTGATTTTCAGCATAGTATCTGTAGGTGAAAGCATAGCGTTGTTATCCCTGGTTTCCTCAAGCACCCAGATTGATCTTAGTTACATAAAAGCCAAGCACTTTTTTTTTTTTGGTTACCCAAATAAATTTGTGTTTTCGGACAAATATATATCCCTGGTCTCAACATTGATTATTGAGCATGGTGAAGGGCTTCGGTTTGTTTTCCCCTGGGAGGTGAGTGCCATGTGGGCATCTTGGCCTCAGGTTTTTTTTTCCCAGCTAAAGTCACAAACCGCCTGACCCGGTGCCCCTTCGGTACCAGTTTGTGACAGGTGCCATGTGAGCTCTGGTCCTGGAGCATCAGAGGAGGGGTGGTGGGAACAGCAATTAAGTGACTTAAATGCTGCACCCTGTCAGTAGCTCATAGGCTGTGACATCCTAAATTGCTGCGGCACAAAATAGTTTCCACCCCAACATCCTTCTCCCTTTCAGCACTGTTCTCAGCATCTGAAGGTTTCTCTAGTCAGTACGTCTGCTCGTGCCTCTGTGCTGTGCCTGAGCTTGCCTCAGTTGATGCAAATGTTTTATCTAACCTCCTTTCCACATTTCTTTTCCTAAATTCTTCCACCTCCTCTCTCTAGCCTTCTCTGTAAATGTTAGATTTAAAAGGTTATATACAAATATGTAAGTGATAAAGAAGTTGCCAAAAACCTTAAAATCTAGAATCTTCAGGGAGTTTGTCCGCTATTATGAAGAGAAGATTGTGGTACCAAATATTAGTCATTAACATCATTTTCTGTTGAGTCAACATCTATTTTTAGGTGTAGAGCACATAAAGACAACTCTTTGACACATAAAACACATGAAGACATCCATTTGACATCATTTGTGTTTGGGCTAAGGCTCGGAAAGAGAGGAAGACAACTGCTAAATGCATCGCACTCATGATGGGACACCCCCCCTTTCCATCCACGGCACATTTTACTACATAGTCCAGGAATGTACTTACCTTTTTAAATAAATCAAAATGAAGTGCAAAACACACAGGTTTGGATGCAGTGCTGTTTCAGGTGGGCTGCAAAGTAACTCTTCGTGATCCATGCTAAATATTTGTCATTGGGCTGTATCCAGGAGTGGTTTTATGATATTAAATGTGTATACTGTTTTAAATGTGCAGAAGGCTTTTTATGCCCATATTATGAATATTATAAATCTGATTCTTGGGTAGAAGAACAGTTAAGAGAGTCTTGATTTAATAATTTTCTAGCAGCATGCATGCAGTGCCTCAGCTAAATTTTCTTGTTTGCTTGGTCATAACATTTTATGATCTGGTTCAGGTCTTAGAGTGCAAGGGAATTTCTCATGATAAATTGTAGATATGACAATGAGTGTCAGTATACAATTCCCTGAGCAGATGTTCATTTAGTCTAATTTCACCAGTGTTCATCAAGAACAGATCTTGCCAGCTCAGACAAAACACAAGGAGATAGGACAAAAGATCACTCGGCAAATAACCTGATCTGCTTCAGAAACGGGGAGGGAGGGGGAGGATGAGGGGCAAGGGGGGAAGAAAAGGAGGCTGCAACTTCAGAGTGCTACGTATGTGCTAAGGTTATTACACGTTGGATACAGTAAATCATCCAAACACACACAACCCATAGGGTTAAAGCTACAAAGCCATGCGTGGGAAGTTGCATGTTAATCTGCCTCTGAACAATAGTTACCTTATGACTGCACTTAGAGAACCCTTGTGTCTGTTTTTAAGGTCTTTCTACCTCTTGCTTTGTTCTTCCAGCTTTTCCTGGCTGCTTTGGTTCTGTAGAACAGGTCGTGTCTGAACTTGAGGGTTGTTCCTTGTGAGAACAGAAAATGATCTGTCTGTTTAAGAGGCGGAAGGTGGCTCTGGTTTACTAACCTGCCTTTTCTTTCCTTCAATCTGTAGGTGTCATATGCCCGTCCAAGTTCAGCATCAATCAGAGATGCGAACCTGTATGTCAGCGGCCTTCCGAAAACAATGACCCAGAAAGAATTAGAGCAGTTATTCTCACAATATGGGCGCATTATCACCTCACGGATTCTGGTTGATCAAGTCACAGGTTAAAAAAAACCTTTTTCTTGATATATGCATGTTTTCTGAACTAGCAGAATTGTAAACGTTTGCTGGCAGGTGGGTTTTAAGACTTATGAGTTCAGTGTGAAATGCAGTACCTGGTTCCTTAGAAGTGTAACTGTTTGGAGGCATAACTGCTGTCTCTTTAATGAGGGATCTCAAAATACAGAATGATGTTTACTTAAAATTATCTTAAATACGGTAGGGGCTCATTTTGGAGAATACAGATGGGAAAGTGCATTTTTCTTTATAGGACTTCAGAAATTGCAAGCAATGTGTTATGTGAAAGCAGTACCAATATTCAGATCACGCTGGTTGCATAGATGAGGCTGTTCCTACAAATATTCATCTGTTCGCATGTTTTTACTTCCCAGGGGTTTCTCGAGGTGTGGGATTTATCCGTTTTGATAAGAGAATAGAGGCAGAAGAAGCCATAAAGGGACTAAATGGCCAGAAGCCTAGTGGTGCTACAGAACCAATTACTGTGAAGTTTGCCAATAACCCCAGCCAGAAAACAAGCCAGGCACTCCTTTCACAGCTGTATCAGTCTCCCAACAGACGCTACCCTGGACCACTTCACCACCAGGCTCAGAGATTCAGGTAATTACCTGGAAAAGAACTGAAGTTCCACCAGTGACGACAATGTGGGGCAGGTGCTGCGCAGGAAAATATGCTTTAGTTGCGTAGGCTGACCTGATTTTCTTTGTAAAATTAAATATTCTTTCCTGGAGAATGGGGAGGAAAATCTGCTGACAACAGTAGTCATGTTGTATTTACTAAAACAGCTGAAGTACTGTACAATCGGATCTCATGAAGGTTCGTAGGAAAAGGGAGGACAGAATAGAGTTACCCTGGCAATCAAATGAGCAGTGACTATCCTGTTCTTTCTCTTTTTTTTTTTAGTAATACTTTTATTTTCTGCTGTATTATTACACTTCTGATGCAGCTTAGACTTTGATGCTAATGACAGTGGATTGGTAGCAGGAAAAAAGTTGAGTCTGTTCCAGTCAGCAGCAGTATCATTAAATTTATTAGCCTGAGATATCTGCTCTTAGTATGAGGAGACCTTGTGCTAGTCTTTGGTGTGATTCTTCAGATACTTTCTGGGATGTTTTATGCTTTGCATTCTGAATATACTTTTTCCATCAGATACATAAGGCAGAGTTAGCAATACATGATGTTCTCATAACTTTTATATTGGATCATTTTCAGGCAACATAGCATTGAAATAAAAAGTCTGCCTTCAAAACAGAAAACTTGGACATATTCACATAACTGAGTTGCCTACTGGCTTTAGAGAATTATTCAAAAGCAATTTTAGTTTTTCGGTGATAAAAAGTGCTAATGAATTAAAGATCATTTTTTTAAAAATCCAGTCATCAGATACGTTAAGCTTACACTTTTTTGTGTCTTTGGCACACGGCTGTGTCCATTGAGGTTATCAGTGAATCATTCCATGGACAGAAGGACTTTATTTTGTTCCCATGGAAAGCAGATGATTATGTTCTGTAAAATTTGGTGGTCATTTAGAATGACGTATCGTAGAGGATTAATACTAAATATATGTAACATGGGGGGAGAATGTAGTATGTTAAAGCAGTTAGAGTCAAGATTTTTCTAGCTCCAGCAATGTTGAACTGCAACATTGTGCTTCCAAATTAACTGTAAATAAGGTGAACAGTTGAATAATCTGCAAAAATTTCATACTAATATTGCCTAAAAAAAAAAAGACAAATCGGAAGCGATTTTTTTTTTTTTTTTTTTTTTTAAGCAAAACCCTGGAAATGAAGTTTTTCTCCAAGACTGTAGACAAGTTAAATGGCTTTAAAGCCCGTGGTGGAAATTTTAAGCACAACCTCAGGCTTAACAAAGCAGGCCGGGAGTTGTTGGGCTCCTTAGATGTGTGGGAAACTTGTTGAACGTTTCTTCTTTGAAAATGGAAAGCTATTAATAATAGTTCCATTGAGCGATCTTGCCATCTGTGAGACATTAACCCAAAGACCCTCCTTCTCTTTTCAGGCTGGACAATTTGCTTAATATGGCCTATGGCGTAAAGAGGTAATTAGAATTCCACAGATTGCCAGATGTCCGTGTTGGCACGGATTGGTGCTACAATTTATTTTTTTTAATTCACTAACTTTATTTTTTTTAATTCCTTCTTTTCTTCCACCAGCATGTCAAATTCTTTTTAAGTTTGGACTTCAGTTGGTTTTGTTACGTTAAAGGCCACACATGCAAGTTCTGTGCGGTTTGGTTTTGTTTTTTTGGTTTTTGTTTTTTTTTTTTTTCCAACCTTTTTTTATTTACAGGTGGGCTTCTCAAATGGTTTAGGTGCAACAGCTACAAGCACTCAAACTGCAGTCTCCCTGCTAAGCAGCGCTTTCCAGAATCAGAACTATTCACTTCTTTATGTAATCTCCAATCTGATAATGGAAAATTTAACACGCAAAACCAGAATTAGGCAGCTATCTGAATCTCATAGTTAAGACCTTTCTCCTATATGCAGCTTCACAAGTTTGACTTGAAAATAGAGCTGTGTGCACCTTAATCAGCCCTAAGTTTCTTTCGTTACAGGTTTAATGCTTTGAAATTTTCTTGGTTCTTGACATTTTTTTTGTTTAAAATAGCTCTGTGTGTTCGTCTGTGTGCACGTACGTGTGATAAAGCTCAGCTGTAAAGCTTTGTAGACTTTTATGCTGTTTCATGAGTATGCTCAGTGTTTTATCCGATGGTTAAAATGAGTTGACGTGTTGTTAGTATTTCTTCTAATGGCACACAACGCAAGCAAACCGTACAGCAAAATAAAGGTATAGTCTTATTCCTGATGTCCAACCAGCCCCCAAAATTAAGATGAGAAAATACTTCTTCATCTTCTGAAATGGTATGCTCACCACACTTGAAAATTGAGTTCTTTTAAAGCTCATCCTGTAAAATAGTATGGTAAGTATATCTTTATGTTGGCTAGTAGTGGACAGTAACATGGGTTTTAACTACTGCCATGGTAGCTATCATACAAGTTACAACCTTAACAGTGCTTACAGAGGCAGTAGTCAAGCTTCTTAGTATTCAGAGTCTACAATGTTAGTCTTAAATCACAGCAGTGTTTAAGTTGTTTCATAGGCATCTAAAATTAGTTCTTATTGCTCCAAGCAAATCTTGAAAACTTGTAGTTAGACTAGTAAACCCTATAGTTAGGGATGTAGGGTCACAAAAAAGAAAAAAAAAAAGGTATATTGAAAAGAATTTTTTGAACATCTGTGGTGTAGCATTCTGGGGTTTGGAAGTTGGTTCTTTCTTTCCCTGTGTTAACTATGTGGTGCTGATGGAAAAAGAGGTTTGCTGATGTGGAACAAAGGTTTTATTGATGCTAATTTCAGATCACTTTGCTAGTAGCAAAGCAGCTTAAGCAGTAGGTTATCCTGTGTTTGTGTCAATAGACTTGCACTAATTTTGTGCATGTTTTCTTGGATTTACAGCAGCTCCTGTGCTTGTGGTACATCAATAGTTGAAAGCTGTATAGCTCCTAAAGGTTTCCAGGGAAAAACTGCTCTTCAGTGAGCTGTAGGAAACCTTAACCCCTTATATCAGTGCAGCATTCCTTAAAAACGCAAAACTTTATCACATGCTGACATTCACAGCTTTGCATTGCAGTGACTTCACAATAACATGGCTTGCAGGGTAGTGTAGATGCTGGTGGTTTGCATCATGTTAAATTTAAGTACTGAGGTAGGTAAAGGAGCATTTGCTGGCTTACATAAGTTCCTAGCACAGTTGGTGCTTGGTCTTGAAGTCCCATCTTCCAAATTCTGAAAGAAGTGGAAGCTGTTGGCTTGTTCAAGCTCCCATTCCTAGCCTCGTTATTTACAATTCCACATAGAGTGGAAGGAGCAGTATAAACTGGCCTTGTCCAGCTGTCTTTGTTTTCAGCAGCTGGGGAAATACCACGGGTTAGAGCTGTGCTGAACCATTATGATAATGTTAAAAATTTCAGTATGCAGGAGAGGAGCTAAGATTTGACAGTAGGATTTGCAAAAGTGAAGTTCAGTTGGAAAGTTGCCACGTATTTTTAATAAACTGTCTGCAAACCTGTGTATGTCTGAGGATCCAATGCTGTGAGCATTTGAACTGCTCATTTCTAGCATAGCTACACGCCAGTGATGTTCCTCAGCTTAAGATATATATTCCAAGTGTCTTTTTTTTTCCTTCAATATACGTGCAAAGTGCCATCAGGAGCCAACAGAATGGTGAGCAGCCATCAAGTGTGTAGTTTCTTTTATGGTTATTTAATACACACTGCATAATATTGTGCAGATTGCTAAATGTCTGCGGAAGTATTGCAAGTGTAAACGGAGAAGTTTTGGAGAGCACAAGAGCTCACTCAGCACCACTGAGGGTGTCCCCGCCTTCAGTCGTCACTCAGAAAATCCTGAGGAATTATTATCCAATTCTGATATTAAAACTCATCATATTGAAGGTACATGTGAAACTGGATTTTTTATTAAGAAGCTTCCTCTGTGCAGTTTTTATTTTAAAACATATCCCAAAGTGTAGCTTCAGAAAGCGTGTCATTTTTTCTTCAAACTGATGAAAGGAAAATTATGTTGATCCTGAGGGCTGATACTGCTTAATATCTTCATTAATAACCTGAGTCACGGGCTGCAATGCACCCTCCTTGCATTAACAGGTGACACTAAATGGGAGAGGGAGCAGGGGCAGTCACTGTGCTCTTGGCCATAGCTGCCACTGGGGAGACCTTGACAATCTTGGAGGAGCGTGGTGAAATTCATGAAGGGCAGATGTAAAGTTTAGCCCCTGTCTGCTGTCTTCAGCTGCCTACAAGGGGCATGAGAAAGAAGATGAAGCTCGGTTCTTCTCACAAGTCAACTGCAAAAGGACGAGAGTCAACAGTAACAGGCTGAAGCAGGGGAAGTTCAACTGAATGTAAGGGAAAGTCGTTCACAGTGAAGGTGGTGGAGCCCTGGAGCAGGGGCCACAGGAGTGGAGTTCCTCTCCTTGGAGACTTTCAAAACTTCCCTCTGCAAGGCCACAAGCAGCAGATCTAATTTGAGAAGTTAGCCTCGCTTTGAGCAGGAGATTGATCAGATGACCTTCACAGAGCTGCCCAACCTATGTTATTTTGTGATGATTCTGTATTCATAAACATACAACCTGGCTTGGGCTTCCCACTTCAGATGTTCAACTTAGAGAAAACAAAAGCCAAAAACAGTGTGGGGGAGGAAGCTAGGGTGCTGTATCAGACTTCTAGGAGCTTGTCTCTCTACGCTGACTATCTGAAGAACCTAAGAGCCTGTCATGGATATGAAGTCTCACAGTATCAAGGTATCAGTTGACGTGCTCATCCGTTATATTTATGCGCCATTTTATTTACTCTACAATTGCTACATAAATCTTCCTTAATGTGTGGCCAGCTTTAGGACTTCTTTATTAACTGGATTTTTTCCCAGCGTATGTCAATTAAGGACTGTGTTAGGAGATGTCTCTCTAAATCAAACAGTATTTTTAGCTAAAGAGGCCTCTGTGATAGCTGAATCCTGACAATGGCATTTCATATTAATCTTTAAAATAAGTCTTGAAGTTTGTTTGGGTTTTCCCACTGCACACTGGTAAGAGGTAAAGCCTTAGATCTCCATTGCTCCGAGACCATATGATGTTAGTGATGGGAATAAGCTGCAAATTCCTACAGGCCTTTTTAAATGAACTCGTGTTCGTAGCAGCATGTGCAGGGCCTTTTTGACTTAGGTTGTCCTTAAGCATTTCTTTTATTAGATCTTTGTATACATCTATGTAGGGCTTATCCTTGAAGGGAGGTGCATTTATGGCCGGATTGGGTCTATCTTTGTAGAGCTCCCCTCTTACTTACATAGGACTTAGTGACCAAGGGTGGCTGTGCAGTCATCTTCCAGGGATAGGCTCAAGAACCAACTTCACAATGGCTTATTTGTTTTAAAGTCTTGGTTCCACGTAGCTCGTGCCAAGAGATATATTTAGAATAGACCCCTCTTTTTACTCGGTAGGTTTTCTCCGATCACAATTGATGGTATGACGAGCCTTGTCGGAATGAATATCCCTGGCCACACTGGGACTGGATGGTGCATCTTCGTCTACAACTTGTCTCCCGACTCAGACGAGAGTGTGCTGTGGCAGTTGTTTGGTCCCTTTGGAGCAGTCAATAATGTCAAGGTGATCCGTGATTTCAACACCAACAAGTGCAAGGGATTTGGCTTTGTCACCATGACCAACTACGACGAAGCTGCCATGGCGATTGCCAGCCTTAATGGATACCGTTTAGGAGACAGAGTATTGCAAGTTTCCTTTAAAACCAATAAAACCCACAAATCCTGAATTTCATATCCTTACTTACTAAAATATATATATATAAATATATATACGAACAAAACAAAACAAAAAAAAAACTCTTCAAGGCTTATATTCAACCATGGACTTTATAAGCCAGTGTTGCCTAAGTATTAAAACATTGGATATCCTGTGAGGAACAGGAAAGGATTTTATAATGCTTAGAAAAAAAAAAAAAAAAAAAAAAAACCTTTGATGCATTGAATGTTCTTTCATAGCTGTCGTTGTTGAATATAATATACATAGATAACAATGTGCAGGGATTTTTACCCGGCCAGCTAGTTTTACTACCTTCCTTGAAGGTGGGTCTTTTTAAGATGACCATTCACTCATTTGAAAAAATAATAGAACAAAAACAATTTTTACAAACTAATGGGATTAAAAGCGAGAAAAAAAAATTTTGTTTTCTTTTATTTTTTTCAAAACATTGATTGAATCAGATTGGTAAACCCCCCACATAAATTAAAGAGGAACAATAAAAATTGCAAAAAGAAGAACATAATTTTGCAACTTTTTTTATTTTTCCTTTTTTCTTTTGTATCATGTGAACTAAACAGTCTTCTGTTAGGGAATGGGGTTACAGGGGGATACCTGATGACATAACAATTTAAATAACATTAACAATGTTGCCAAAGAGGTGGTCTCTTTGCTGAAAATGGGTTTCAAGAAAAATCTATTTTTATAAAATATAAAGAATTTTTACAAGAGAATCTGGATTTGAGAAAAAAATATTTTGACTGGCTAATTTAGGGGAAATTGACAACTTTGTCATGTTCATACTGCACTGGTAACTTTTTAGAGATCAAGATGTGTGTTTTAAACTGGATTAGTAGATTGTTTTTTGAAGGATGGGCTACAAACAGATGATCTTCGTATCTTTTCATAGCATGTAATAAAAATATTAAATACAGTACGGGAGAGTGTTCTTCCCAGGCACGCAGTTACCCACAGTCAAAACCCAAAAGCAAGGAGATGAGTTGCAAGACGGTTTTTCTTTAAGTCATCAGTATGGGATATCAGCAGAACAAAAGTTAAAAAAATTAATTTTTTGATCAAAAACTTCCTTGGTTTGAGCAGTAGGTGCTACAAAATTATTTACATATCTTAGTATCATAGTTAAATGTAATGTGTTTAGAAAAAATACATTTGCTTTAAATTTGTTAAGAATTTTCAAATTCACTTTATAGCCCAAGCTAATATAATTGGGCTGTGTTGGCACATTTGGAACACTGTTTATGTTGCTTGAAACACTTATTTATTTAATTGCCGATGTGATGCATATGGCCAAAATCAAATATAGCTAGTTTGGCTAGTCTACTTATTTGTTTACTTAAACTATGGGAAGAAGCATATTATTGTGTCATTTTGTTGTGTGTGTATGTGTATATATAATATAAAT